AATCATTTTGGGGTCATGCACTAATTGCTGCGTACTACACACTTAATCGTGTCCCATCTAAATCGGTCGACAAAACTCCATACGAGTTATGGAGAGGAAAAAGACCAAACTTATCTCACATGAAAGTTTGGGGCTATGACGTTTATGTAAAGCGAAATGAATCAGATAAACTTGAGATTAAATCTGATATATGCGTATTTGTGGGATATCCAAAAGAGACAATTGGATATCAGTTTTATAATCTCATTGAGAAGAGGTGTTCATCTCAAGACATGTCATATTCCTAGAGAAAGAGTTTATTCTAGGAAAGGATAGTGGGAGCAAGATAGAACTTAAAGAAGTTCAAGAATCCACAGATATTGTTGACATCAAACCTGAGTCTGATCTCATACTTGCTGATGGATATACTCTTGATCAGGATGTAGAGACTCCTAAGGACACTCCAGCTCAGCGTAAATCAAGTAGGATCATTCGACCTCCCAGAAGGTACGAATTCACGATTACTAATCAAGTATTATTAGTCGAGGATGATGAACCTATAAATTATGCAGAAGCGAAGTCAAGCGTTGACTCGAAGAGATGGCAAGAAGCCATGGAATCCGAAATGAACTCAATATATGAGAACAAGGTTTGGATCTTGGTCGACCTTCCAGGTGGAATAAAACCGATAGGTTGTAAGCTTACAAGAAAAATGTCGATTTGGATGGAAACGTCCATACATAGAAAGAAAGGCTAGTAGCGAAATGTTACACACAAAGACAAGGCGTTAACTTTAATGAAACTTTTTCGCCTGTAGCCATGCTGAAGTCCATTCGAATTTTGCTTGCAATTGCTGCATACCATGACTATGAGATATGACAAATGGATGTCAAAACTGCTTTCCTTAATGGAAACTTGCAAAATGAGGTGTATATGACACAGCCTGAAGGTTTTGAATCCAAAGAAGCTAACAAAGTATGTAAGCTAAATCGATCCATTTATGAATTAGAGCAAGCCTCTAGGAGCTGTAATCTTTGTTTTGATGAGACAATCAAAAGGTTTGATTTTATCAAAAATGAAAATGAACCGTGTCTTTACAATAAGACAAGTGGGAGCGCGATTGTATTCCTAATATTATATGTCGATGACATATTATTAATAGGAAACGACATTCTAATGCTTCAATCGGTAAAATTATGATTGTCAAAAAATTTCTCCATAAAAGATATGAGAGAAATAGCGTATATCTTGGGAATCAAGATCTATAGAGATAGATCTAAAAGATTACTAGGCTTATCCTAATCTTCATACATAGACAAAATCTTGAGAAGATTTAATATGGAAGAGTCTAAGAGAGGTTTGTATCATATGTCACATGAGATTTACCTCTCAAAAGATATGTGTCCTAAAGCACATGATAAAAGGAATCGCATGGATAAGATTCCCTATGCTTCAATGATAGGATCTGTCATGTATGTGATGCTATGTACAAGATTAGATGTTTCATATGCTCTAAGTGTTACGAGCAGGTTTCAAGCAAACCCTGGTGAGAAGCACTGGATAGCGGTTAAAAACGTTCTTAAGCTCTCAACAATGGAGCAGTTAGTTGAAAAAGTTCCAAACAGGAGATAACCGCTGATTCAACAACGGAAGCCAAGTACATTGCTGCTTCTGAAGCAGCGAAGGAAGCTGTCTGAATCAAGAAGTTCATTAATGAACTGGGAGTTGTTCCTAGCATTGTTGATCCCATACCTCTGTATTGTGATAACAATGAAGCCATCGCACAAGCGAAGGAACCGAGGTCTCACCAACGATCCATACATATGCTAAGGCAATATCATCTCATCAGGGAGATTATACAAAGAAATGACGTAAAGACGGAGCAAGTTCCCACAGATGACAATATTGCAGATCCATTGACAAAGTCGTTGTCACAAGATAAACATGATCGTCATGTGGACGCTTATGGTATTAGATACATGAGTGATTGGATCTAGTACAAGTGAGAGTTTGTAAGTGTTATGTCCTAAATCCAATCGATTTAGGTTGTAAACACTTTTAATATGTTTAATACATTTATTTTTGGCAAGATCTATTATTTATTTAAATTGATATTCTAATAAATAATATTAAATAATAGAGTCCGAAGATTCAAGTTTAAGTGATTTGTTAATCACAAGGAGTTGTGATTGTGAGATACAATCTTGAATAATCCGTGGTCGTAAGTAATAACGAAATACGGATATTGTTATTACAGATAGACCATCATGTGTGTCATTTCCTACTTGTGAAGTAAGTAGCTGATCTCACAAGCTAAAGTGTAGTGACACTTAAATGAACACGTGGATATTTTGTTATAGAACGAAACACTGGAGACCCGCTAAGAGATTCCACATGGATAACTATCTGAGTGTCAGTGGTTAATCTCTAACGTTCGGTAGTGGAATTGGTCCTTTGACTTGAGGTCATCATAGTGCCATGTATAAGGACGGTCATGCTTTGACGGTATTGGATGTTGTTCTACTAAGGGCCGCTAATACGACATCGTTCGGATATGTCAAGAACCATATGAAGGTTGTGAATGACCAATACAGGATTCGTCACTCTAGATAGTAAGAGATTGTGATCTGTATTTCGTTAAATTAAGTCAACAACGAAATCCTTAACCAAGGTATACACGTAAGTCAAAAAGGAGTTTTCGACTCATATTGACTTAATAGTAAAATGAAAAATATGATCGATAATCGAGATTAACATACTCCCATATCTCGTAATTGATCGGATCATATTGACGAATGGATTATAGTTTCATGGTAAATGAGCAAATTTGATTTTGTCATACCACATGACATTTCCTGTCACATGTGTTGTCCTGATACATTGCTAGATGTCAATTTGGGACGGCGAGTGTGAATTAGTAATAAATTAAAAGAGTATTTTAATTTATCAATTTTGATTAGATCAAAATAATATTTCACGTCGTTAGGCATCGTGATCGGAAACCTGATGGGTCGCACACAAAAAAGAATTGGAATATTGCAATTTGTCAATTAATTAATTTAACAATCATTGAATAAATAAATTAATTGGGTTGGTTATTTATAAACCCGAATTAATTAATTGGATTAATTAATTCACGGATTGTGTTTAATTAAATAGATTAATTAAATATTGGACTGGACCAAGTCAAGCCCGTTTGGACTTATATAAATATATGACTAGGGTTTTCAATCCGTAGAGAATCTCATAATTCTTGCTAGCACAAGAGGAGAAAACCCTAGTAGCTGCAATTTGTTCTCTGTGTGGAATTTATTGGAGGCTGGACAATTGGGAAGCCGTGGGATGCAAATTCAAGTTGCTGGAACAAAGATACCAAAAAGTTTGCAGATCTAAGAAAATGTATAATTTTTATCACAATTCCTATTTAAATACAAAGATGAGTTCTGGTAGGAGTTGAAAATGTTTTATTTTCGCTGTGCATGTTTAAGTAAATTTCTAACAGAAGGGAAGAAGGTAAAGAAGAAGATAAAGGAAGGGGAAAGGAGAGAAGAAGAGGGGTGAGAGGAAGAGGGAAATAATGGAGAAAATATCAAATTTTATTCATTCAAAGCTTGATTTATTACAACGCCAAAAGAGCCCTTTATATAGGGTTTGAGATGTTCTATCTTAAGAAAGAAAATAACTAATAAGAGCAACTAAATTAAACTTAATTATATTTCCTAAAATACGAATTCAAATTGGAAGCTAAACATAATAATATTCTTTCTAATATTGCATCAATGGGTATCAAACATTCGCTTAAACATGTCAAAAATTCTTAATGAGTATGATTTACTTCTAAAATTCTTAGTCACTATGATTGACTTGGAAGCTCAGACATACGCGAAACACCCTTTGCCTTTACAAGTGGTTAAGAGTTGGGTGCTATTACGGCAAAGTGGTTAGAAGGAGGAACCTAGGAAATACTAGAGATAGAATTATATGGATCACTGGTAAGATAACTATATCCGTAGTTTTAATCAATTACAAATGGACATTAACTGCAAAGCACTCAGCTTCCTACTTAGCCAATATACTGGTTTAATAGAATTGCATACTTGCTTAATGACAAGCAGCACGACAAATGATTATTGGCAGCTATGAAATCCTGTGAACATCTTTTTATGTGATCACTAGAAACTCAATTCCAAATTGTTTTAAGAATAATTCTTGGCGTACATTATGGACACCATTATGGTGTCCATAATGTACCCATATCACAACTCTTGTTTTAATAGAATTGCATACTTGCTTAATGACAAGCGGCACGACAAATGGTTATTGGCAGCTATGAAATCCTGTGAACATCTTTTTACGTGATCACTAGAACCTCAATTCCAAATTGAAACAAGTGGAATGTCAGGACGTTCCGGCAAGGATACTTCCAACCAGTCCCTAATGACTTAACCAAATCAGAAAACCACAAATCGACCTGAAAGGCACAGTTCAAGACCAATTGTTCTTAAATTTAGATGCTATATATTATTTCGGATCGCTATTTTATTGTCTTTGATTCATTCAACTTCAAATATTGAAGAGAGTCAACTAGGCGAATGTTAAAAAGGGAGCCATGTTCACCTAAACCCAATCAAACAGGGAGGCCAGAAACCGGAGTACTAAGAGTGAATTCCATAACTTAGCCTGCTTCTCCCGAATAATTACCAACTTAATATTGGCTCTATAGGTAAAAATAAAAACACACATTTCACCCCAGACCCATGAACAGAACGGCAATGTACTAAATGTAGGCAAGCTACTTAAATTCAGCAGATTAGAGATGATTATTTATGATAGGAATGAATTAATGAAAAGACTCAAAAAAAAGCATAGCATCTGAAAAGTAGTTTAATGATTCACAATTAACAGCTTTCGCATTAAATATATTGCAGTAGTGTATAATTTAAGATTTCAAGCTTTAATATCAAATTCAATGAACTTAATTAAGTTAATTAATACCCAACTAATGAGATACACCTCATTTGCCACTCATGTGGTGAGCTGGTACAAAATATTTTCCAACACAATCCTATTAACAACGTAATTAATTGTAGAGTTCATATCATTCCAACTTCAAAGCAGCAAAAAAATCAAGGGAGAAAGCAGAAGCCATACCCCATGGTAAATGTAAATACTTAATACTAACAGTAGGTTTTAGAACTGAAAGTTTGCAAAAATAATTTTATTCAGTCTAAAAGCCCAAAAAACCAAAAGCAAAAAATATAGAAAATTAAAATAAATAATCGCTACATTTACTAGTCGAGAAAACCTGTTTGACGCCAGACGGCATTGCGGACCTGCCTTAGATCTCTCCCCTTGAGCGTTCTTCCCACGCCTTCGAGCACCGAGAAGGTAGTTTTTGGAGATTTTGACGATCCACGGGCAACGATCTCGTGCGGTGGCAATATCTCGTCGTCGTCCACGTCATCATCGACCGCGTCGGAAAGCTCTCCGTTCTTTGGCTTCATTGGCATCATCGGGACATTCACCGGTGCCGATTGCTGGAACCGTCGAGAAGGCATGGACTGCGAGTACTTGCATTCAATCGGGGGTTTAGGAATTGAAGGGATGGCGCGTGAGAGCGACGTGGTTGACGAAGATGGTGACGAAGGCAGTGAGGGTTTCAGAAGGATGGCTTGAGAGTCCGGTTTCCGGTGATCCTCCGTCAATGCCGCAAGGATGCCGAACTTCTCCGGCTGCCTAAAGGACTGTCGTGTGTGATAAGTTGGAGCAGATGAGAGACCGCGCTGGGGCTCGGAGAAGTCGCCGGTCCAAAATACATCGTCTTCGTTAAGCTCGTCGCCTCCACCGCCTGCGACGGGTGAAGAGGAAGTGAAAGCGGAGTCCTTAGAAGGCGGAGAGAACACGCCGAGAAATCTATCGGAAGATGGAGACCGGCGATGGCGGAAGCTCACGGCACCGTTTTGGTCCATTCTTCGCGTCACGGATGAATTGGAAACGGAGCCTTGGAGTAGTAAAGTAGTCGAGTACTTACAATCTGGAGAGCACGGATGATTCCCTATACTATAATACTCGCGAAGCGGGACCCACGTGGGGTCCATGTCTGATCTAACGGCTTAAAATGGATATTTCTTCTGATTATTTGGTACGATGATTGATTTCCGTAGGGGTAGCGTAGATGAGAATTATGCGTTTCGGTGGCAGTGGGAATGACGTGGCATGAAACTGCGGCGAGTAGAATGGGTTAGCGAGTGGGAGAATTTATCTGAGAGGTCACCAAAAGTATGCATATGCTCTATGTTGGTTACTTAACTTTAGAGCACGTTTGAGAGTGATTTTGAGAATTGATTTTTTGACCGTTAGGAGAAAAGTGGGGTTCACCTGTAGGAGAAAAAATCAAATATGACGATTGAAATAGTGAAATAACGGTCAAAAAATTAATTTTTTTAGAGCAAAAAATCACTCTCAAACAAGCTGTTAATTTCTTTATATTTGATCTTCTGACTTATATTTTTCTTCGATTTGATCACACAACTTAATACTTAAATTTAATTTGATGATTACATATGTGAGTGTGACCAAAATCGATGAATTTTATGACATGGTTAATAAATTTTATCACCTGAAGAAATGACTATTTTAGAACTTTCTAACATTTGTTTAGTTGTTTATTTTTATTTTTTTTAAACCTTTAAACTTGTTACATTTCATATGTATATACCGATATTTGATAATGTCATTACAATTTTCACATGAACATCACAACTTATGATGAAGGCAGTTTAGATTCAATGAAATTTGATTTGCTCTAATTATAACCTCATGGCTCTCATTTGTCATACCCCCTTTTTTTTTTAAGCATGGAATATGACTACAAAATTTTTAACACTAGAAAATGTAGCTAAAAATATAAGTTGAGTTACAAGTCACATCGATCAGATTATCTATTCTAGCAATTTTTTTAGTGATAAGGAGGAATTGAGCACCCTCAAATGGAAAATATAAGTGCTTGTTTGGTAGGAATTTTGTTAATTGATTTTTTGACTGTTAAAGATAAAGTAGGTCTTACCTGTGAGAGAAGAATTTAAAAATGACGGCTGTAATAGTAAAATAATGGTAAAAAATTTGGTTTTAATTGACCACCAAACATGCTCTAAGTTAAAATGTCAAATTAAAATTGGGTGGTTGACATGAAACAAAAAGACATAAGATTTGACTACACGATTTTATTACTGAAAAATGTCACCAAAAGTATAATTTGGCTCAAAAGTCTTGTCGATTGGGTCATGGATTCTTCCTATTTTGTCATGATAATGAGAAATTGGACAGATTAGCCCCCGTTTGACCCTCATTAATTTTCATTCCATCACATTTTATTTTTCTCTCATATTTTCAACCACACAATCTTCCATAAAATAATATTACACATAAAAATTAAAATTTTTTTTCTTTTTCAATCACTCATTTTAAAAAAAAATACTATTTTACTCATTTTCATTTCGAAAAATAGGCACCAAACGGGGCTGAAATGAAAATTTTAAGTTAAGATATCAAATCAAATTTGGGGTGATTCACACGAAAAGAACTTGTGATTTTGGCTGTCTGTAGTGTAAATTTTCAATGGGGTGTGACCTTTGACGTCTATACATGGCCCATGGCTGTCAACTTCATCTTGTTTTGTTGGGATGGGCCCACGACGGCATTGATGACAGGACGTCCTTATCTTTTATGGCAATCCTATGAGTTCTATTCAGGGTCAAGTTCAATTAATCTATTTGCATATGGAGGTTTACACTTCGATTGACACGGTTCCACCCGACCTTTTACATGAAAGAGGTTGACGTCCACGCTCAAATGTGTGGGGCCGACCTTCCCATGTAAGAGGAGAGGTGGGCCTGTGTCAATCGAAATGTAAGGCTCCATGCACAAGTAGCACAATCCAGTCAAGTTTGTTCACTTCTACTGCTACGACATCACACTTTCTGACAACATTTTGTTTAAAGGGTTTGTCCTTGTTTGGGAAAGTAAAAAAAAAAAATTTAAAAAAATTGAAGTAAAAGTTAATTATTAATTTTCATTATAAATTTTGGAGTGTTTGAGAGTAATTTTTATGTAAAAATGCATTTTAGAATAGTAACTTGATAGGAAGTGTGTGGTTGAAAAATAAGAATTTTTTTTATTTACGTGTAATATTATTTTAATAAAGAATGGTTGGATGAAAATAAGAGAGAGAAAAATGTATTTTTAAAAAAAATGGGTATCAAACGGGGGCTTTATTAAATTCATAATTTTTATCAATATTTCAATCACACTTCATCAATTTTTATTATAATATATTAACTTTTCTTTTTCTTTTTCCTCTTTTTTTATTTTTTATTTTTTATTTTATCAAAGCTATGTCAAACAACATCGTAATATATTGATTTTTATTTTAAGCCACACTATTCGATATCTTCCATGGAAATATTAACAAAAGCCACACTATTCGATATCTTCCATGGAAATATTAACAAGTGAAAAAATCTAATTTATAATAAAACTAATATTGGTTGGGTAAACTAAGCAATGAAATTCTATTGATTAAGGGTTTGTGGCGAAACTCAACCTTTTTCAGTGTGGATTCAAAAATTAAGTTGCAAATTTTCATTTTCAATATTTTGCTCCGTACCCAATGATACGAATTTTATTACCAAATATCTATCCATAACTACTAACAAAATCACATTCAACAAATGTACTTATATTTCACAACTATTTCCATAATATATTTCTATTAATAATTATACTTGTAAAATTACAATTAATTCCAATGGGCAAATCCACTAGTCTATCAAAGCGCTACATAAAATACCATGATAACAACTTATTTCATAAATTCCAAAATCACCGCTTCAGGAAAAGTTAATGCTTCCTTGTATGTGGAAATGAATTCCACACTTGGAACTAAAACACTAATTAAAAATTCATATATCATAATATATTAAAAATTCAAGCATTTCAATAAAATTGATATAAAAACATAAAGAAATTAATCAAGACTGATGAATAATAGCATTCAAAGATTCTACGTGTATTTAATTTGTCCATTCTAGGTGAAGTAACATACATACTATTATTATTGACTTAGCTTAATAGCTCAGTAGTCAACACACTTGTTCATTTTAGGTGAAGTCACACACGCTCTATTATTATTGACTTAGCTTAATAGCTCGGTGGTCAACAATTGACGACAGAGGCTAAGGCCAAGGTCGGGGCTCAGCTGAATAGTTTAAGTCGTATGTAAAAAACAGTCAAATTGAGGACATGTGGTCAATAATAAGAAAGGTTGAGCTGTTGACAATATCAATGAAATGAATAGGAAATGAGAGAAAAATTGGGCTTTTCTTTGATATGTCCGATTTTGTCGTTCCAAGGGAGGACGGAGAGAGTGAGGACTAAATCTAGAATTGAAAAAATTCAAAACATAATAATAATAATAAATTATGAGTCACTTGATCCTACATGACACCATGTGCACTAGCTAGTGTCAGGTTGGGTAACTATGCTTTTGTTAATAAGTTTTAGTGGATATTTGATAAAATTTGGTTAAATGTGTGTGTGGTTGTACAATAGATAAATGTTGTTAACCTCGGAAAATGTGTAGTTAAAATTGAAATTTAATATGTTGAAAAGTTGATAAAATTTTATCGAACAAGCACTAAAGGATTGCGTAACAAACTTGAGTTATAATAAAAAAAAAAATTAGCATTTTTGATAAAAGAGTGATAACTGTGTAATTAAAAAGTTAATAAAGATTGTGAGTTTATGAAATGTGGGATTAAAATTAAAATTTGACTAGTTGAAAAATAGAGCAAAATGCTATCAAACAAGCACTCAATATAAAATGAAATAACACATTCTTTTAAAGTTGAGCTATTAATTTGATAATTCCTTCTTCTTTTTTGCATGGATAATTGACATCGATATTTTATTTTGTGAAAGTAAGTACTCACATTGATATCGTCAATTTTTTTTTTAAAATCAATGAGTGCAAGTACTATAAGAAATAGGATCCATGCTAAATGAATTCGTAAAAGAAAGAAGAGAACTTTAAGAAAGAGAATAAATTTGAATATTTGCATAGTACTTGAAGCATCAAAGTGTCTTTTAATCAAAGCCATATTATTTTAGCGATAAAATGGATGTTTAGTATTGTATCGAACCCCCCAATAGCGATCTAACTAAAAATTTTGATTCTTACGAAGATAGCTACGATCACGGTAGCTATGGTTAAGTAGGCACGGATATTTTTGAGTAAGCTTACATGCAAGAGAGAAGTCCCCTTATAAGAAAATTAAGGCTTAGAGCATGTCTGATTGGTTTATAAGCTTATCAAACTTATTTTATAAGTCAAAAATCCATCCAAACATGTAGCTTAAGTGTGCATATTTATCTATAGTAATACAGTGAGTTGACCAAGTGAATTAACAATTTTTCCTCCACTTTCTCAACTATTAGGGTAAGTGGCGCAAATTGTCTCTACCATTTGCCTGTTTTGTGAAAATTATTTTTATTATTTCAATTTTCATATTGCCCACTTTCCTTGTAGTGGTCAATTTGTCATGAAACTGTCTTCTCTAACTGCTGCCATTACTTTTGTCGTTCAACCGTCTTCAATTGAATTCCTTGAATCGTGGAACGTGATAAGACTACCCAATAACTGCTTTATTAACTGCACTTTTGGGTAACCATAACATCTTATGTTTGCTAAGATGCTGGGCGACTCGAATGTTTGGACGAGAGCAGGGTCACAGCTCTGGGCGACTGTATGACAATTCATTCGACTTGCAGCCTTGGGCGACTTGCAACCTTGGGCGATGGTATTACCGCATTCATGGGCTTCCCTATTTGGGCCTTTATCATGCATTGCCTGATTGGGTTGTTCTTTTGGGCTATTTGATTTTGGGGATCTTCCAATTGAGCTTCATTTCTTGGGCTATTCGACTTAGGCTGAACTTTTTGTGTGTCAACAATTACCCCCCAATATTGCAGAATTAATACCAATTATTAATTTTTGCCATATTCACTTTGTGTTTCCCAGCAACATTTGAAATTCCCAAAAATTTCAATCATTGTT